CATTATTTGTGAGGAGGTTATGGTGCTGAATCGCTAGTGCGCCGACGACGAACTTTTTAGGTGGAATGTTGTTCAATTGCCACCACGACGTTAAGGTCATTTTGTGAGGTTATGTTGTTGGATTATTGTCATGGCATCAAGACCTTCATAAGTGAAGGTGATGCTGAAATTATGGCATGGCAGCATTTTTTTTTATGATGCAACTGGGGAGATGTCGTATGATTGACGACGTAAATGTTATTTCTTATGTTGAAACGTGGTGGCCGGCCGTAGTGAGGCATGCGAAGACATTGCCATTTTATTCTTGGTTAGTATACGTGTGACAACGATCATTTGCGTAAGCCAAGGTGGTGTAGTGGAGGTGCCGCCGGACATTCATTGGACCCCGCATTGTCATTTTGAAAAGCTGGTTTGGTCAGCGGCGGACGGTGGCGCGTAGATTTTATTTTTTTGGAGCGCGATAGTGGCCCGCAGCCATTGAGGCGCAAGTTAATTTTTTTGGAGACCGGTTTGAGACCTGTGGTGGATGTGCGTTAATCCTCGTGACTTGGTGGTATAGTTAGGACTGCGTTTGGGCCATGGGAGACTCACTTTGGGACCGCCCTCATCGGGGGTTATTCGCTTGGGCGAGGGGAAGGAGTATCCACAGACCACTTCCTAGAGGGGTGGGTACGTGATGGCAAAGGGGTGAGCCGATTTTCTATAAATCATAAGCAAATAAGGGGGGTTGGCTTAGGCCCTTTGGAGTGACCATTGTAGGAGTCACTGTTGGAGTGAAAGACTAGTGACATAAGAAGCTCCAACCTGAAAAGGGAATTGATCCTTAACGTGGACTCGTGTCGGCGCCACAATCATGGAAAGGTTTGAGCCAAAAGAAGTGCAAACCCGAAATGAATGCATGAAGTGCATCTCCGAGTTTAATCGTCATACATTGATGGCTAGCCAACCCGTGTCATACGATAGCATTCTGGAGTTGCGTAAGAAGGAGCATAATAAATATGTTAGGTATCCTCTAAAACCGTTTAAAGCGCGACTCAGGGATCTGACACACGAGTCTTGTTTATATGTTTCAATTAGTAGATAATGGATATGAGGTCATTGAAGATATGTTGATGGACCTACCCATACATCAAGTGCTATGTATGGCCTCTTCCGAGGCGGAGGTCCCCTGTTGACGGACGATGTATCCATTAGATACATTCTTGAAAGTACTAGTATCAGTATGCCCTTAGCGAGGGTTTTTGATGAGAAGGTGGAGTACGCCCTGCCTTGTTGGCAGGGCACAAAAAGAATGAAGTGGGGGAAAAAGATATCCGATTTAGCCGTGATAGTGGTCAGATACATTATGGACAATACTATTGTAAGTATGCCCTGGGTCAGATGCCTTCCCCGACATCTTTTTCTTTTTATTTCATGAAACAACAACGGCCTTTGTTCATCTTTGATCTGGATTTAGTTTTTTTTTTCTTTTGCTTGTCTTTTTGGTGTCATCTGCTGGTAAGATATTAAACACTTGAGTTTCAAGGTGGGCTAATACCTATACCCCGTTACAGCCTATTATTGTAGCAGTTAGGCTCGGAAAAGTGCAGCTTTTGGCTCGTCAATTTAGGTCAATGTGAACCGGTGGTTTAATCCATCAGTTCACACGAGCCTAAGTTGACAAAGCTATCTTCCAAGGCTTGCAACGCTTTAAATGGACTCGTGAATTTCCATTTGAGAGTTATCGGAAAACACTGATGAAACTGACTCTCAAAGGATCAAGAGTACACAGCCTGCAAGATGTCGTTTTTTTAGTGTGGCCCTTTGTACCTTCCAGCCCGTTTTTTTGTGAGCAAGGGTCTCTCTCTACTACTCTCGAAAGGCAAAATAAGTTCGAAAGTAGATCGAGAGTTGTCAGGCCATTGAAAATTAACGAAAAAGTGTCACTGCTCCACTTGCTCTCGATGCCGAACTTTTGAAGCACTCTCGAAATCCAGGAGTGGAATCCGGGTGCTAGAAGACAAGATGCGCAGTCCCTTGTCTACTGGGACTTGAGGCTCACCTTCGAAATTTTTGGGATGGAACTGGCATCCCACGGAGGTCTATCGAAATAACCGCCGTTGCAGGCGGGGACTTTGAAACATCGAGACTGCTCTCGATGACACACTGCTGACAGCTTTCAATGCGGAGATCCGATAGCTCATTTGGAAAGGTAGTGGAGCGACATGCGACTCTCAAAATTCTCAAGAGTTCCTCGAAGCACTCTCAAAGGGATTGTGTACGCGGGGAATCAGAAGTAAGTGGAGCTGTGCTCAACTCTCGAAATTTTGCTTTTCGAGAGTATTGGAGCGAGACCCCAAGTCTCGTCTCCCGGCAGACAAAACAGGCTGGCATCCCTCCACTACACACATGAAAACTTGTCCTTTGAAAGTGCTGCCCTCTTGAGTAATTGGAGCCGCGTTGGGAATTTTGAGAGTTACACCGTTCTGACAGCTCCCGAACCACTCTGGAAAATTTTCATGAGAGTCTAGAGTAGTGGAGGGGCTGGCTGCATCCAGGCCGCGACCTGCTGGGATGAACCCCTCATTCAAGTGGATGGCACTGTAGCAATGGCTGGCTGCATGCACGCCGCCACTCTCGGGAGTTAACCCCCCGTCCCCCCCAAAAAGAAAAAAAAAAACCTTTGTCATTGTTTGCCCCCAAACAGAGGAAAAGGTGTGGGAGGCGTCAAAAGGAACTTCCGCGTCATTTTCGCACCATGAGCTGGCAGTTGGAAAACTGGCGGGGCAAACTACCTAGTTCAGGCCTAACGGGGACTCGGTTCCAAAAACTGGCTAAATTGCCCTTGACGACCGCATTTTCACACTAAGCCTGACGCGAACCGGCGAAGGGGATGAGCCAATGGGCCCAGTCATAGGCCCGAGGACAACGGGATGGACCCGTGGGCCCATGCATACGCCCAAGGACGCAAGGATGGACCCATGGGCCCAGGCATAGGCCCAAGGACACAGGGATGGCCCCAGTGAGAACCAGAGGGGAAAGCCTAGAGGCGAGTGAGAGGGGGGGATGAGGAGGGGACGGAAGTCCCAAGAGCGATGAAGGCCGAAGCAGGTGATGAAAGGGAGAGGGATGGGTGTGGAAGGCGCTCACTGAAGGTCGGTGAAACGGGCGCTAACTGAGGGCCTCGCCACATCACTGTGGAAACGTAAAAAAAAGAGATACATCGGGCGCAGAAAGTGGTAAGATGCGTCCATTACTATTCATAGCAAAATAACGGATGCATCTTGCCCTTCTCTTCCGGGAAGATGCATTCGTTCGTTTTCCGTTTCGACAGTGGTGTGGCGAGGCCCTGAGAAAGGCATGGGCGCAGAGTAAGAAGATGGGGAGGAGTGGGCGGAGGCGAAGGAACACGGATGTTCTTTCTTCTATGCCCTAAATACATAATCAATCAAATATCTATCTATCTATCTATCTATCTAACTATCTATATATTGTCACACTGTAAATCAGAGCGCGAAGGCGAAAAAAAGCAAAACAAGAAAAGGAAAAGAAGGAAGGAAAGCCCCACCTGTTCATCACCTCTTACGTACAAGGCCAGCCCCGTGGATGACAGGTTGAGCGCTGGCTGCCCCCATCCCCGTGTGCTACAATATATATATATATATATATATATATTCAATGTTTTCTTGATTGGTTGATCGAGCGATTGGGTAATTGTTTGATTGATTTATAGATTCATGGATTGATTTATTGCATGTTCGTCTTCTTCTTCTTCTTCTTCTTCTTATAGAGCTTTGCTATGTCTGTGCTGGAGCTATGTCGTGACTTTGAAATGCATTGACCGTTAGCGACTGCAGATGGCGGGTTGCTATCGAGTATGACTGCTATTCCCTATTCTCTATTGTCTATTCCCCATTCTCTATTCTCTTTCTTCATTTGTAGACCGAGTAACAACTAATTTGACATCGAGTATGAATGCAGCCGAGTTCGACACTTCAGCCGCGGATCAGCTAACCTGAGTGCCCAATCTGACTACAGGCTGGATCGCCCAAGCTCAGCGCCTGCCTATGGGCCAGATCCCAATGGCAAAGAGGATTGGAATGAGTGTCTGAATCTGGACGTGTTTGTGGCGAGGGGTGCAGAAAACTGTGATTGATCTGCTTTTCTGCATCTCTGCGTGGAACACGTCCAGATTCGGACACTTATTCCAATCGTCCTTGCCAGTGGGATGTGGCCCTATGCCCTCCCCCCGAACTTCTGTAAGAAATGAGGTAGCCCACCCCCTCGTTAAGTTTGCGCGGGAATTGGAGGGTAAGGAGGTGGTACTCGACGAGGGGGGGCACAGCTTCCTCCTCCTCTTCCTTCTCCTTGTTCTTCTACCGTAGTTTTCGTTCTTGGGGCCTCGCCCGCACCATTCTCGAAATGTGCAAATGAGAATGAACTTCCCGCTAGAGCATGGCCAGATGCACCCGCCACATTTTTGTCTTTCGCACATTTCGAGAGTGGTGGGGCGAGGCCCTTGATGCGGAAAATTTCGAGTTCTGGCGGCAGCAATTGGAGGGGAAGGAGGGGGTAGTTAGTCGATGAGGGGCAGCGTGCGCTTGAGAAGTGCAGGAGCACAACCCGCCAAAACGCGTCGCGGGGAATGCGCGCGTGGAAGTTGGATCTATTTGCTGCCTGATGCTAATCCATCGTATGTATCTTCTGGGGACGAGCACGTAGGGATGGCCTTTCTATTTGCTGCCTGATGCTAATCCATCGTATGTATCTTCTGGGGACGAGCACGTAGGGCAGCTTCCTCCTCCTCCTCCTCCTCCTCCTCCTCCCTCCCCCTTCTTCTTCTACTTCTTCTTCTTCTTGTAGATTGTCCTTCTCCGTGCTGGTGGGATAATTGCTCGAACGCGTTCAGGAAGGCTGATCCGCCAACCGGATTCTCGATTCCAATCCGGTTGGCTCGGCCGAGCAGCATTCATCGAGTTCCGTGATGTCGACCATGGCGCCGGGGTAGTCGAAGAGGGACAGCTTCTTCCTCCTCCTCCTCCTCCTCCGTCTTCTTCTTCTTCTTCTTCTTCTTCTTCTTCTTCTTGAGATTGTCCTTCTCCGTACCGGTGGGATAAAGCAGCATTTTCATCGAGTTTCATGATGTCGACCATGGCGTCAGGTGGTGTAGGTGCTCAGTCACTGGACGTGGTACTTGGAGACCTACGAGTGTTTGTGGCAAATGCAGATAGCCAGCTGCGATCTATTCTTGGGCTGATGGGTTGGAGTAAGGATGCAGTAGGTGCGGCTACGAAAGGGTGCCACGTGGACGCGTTGGACGACGTTTGTAGCAGTGACGGTCTTGTGAGCTGCCCCTGCAATCCGAGGCACAGAATGCCTTCTCACGCTCTGTCTGCACATGTGCGCCATTGCGAGGCTCGGTCTTCCGGTCTGGATCCCGACAAAGTCGTGAGACCCCCCTATACCCCTGCGTTCTTCTACGAGAACGCGCCGTCGGTGGTCCACGTGGCATCTTCTCTGCAGTCCTTGGGCAAAAGTCGGTATCATGCAGTCAATCCGCCATCGCCATGCACTCTGCTCTCTTCCATGCCTGAAGCCATGCGCAAAAGATTTGAGCCGATCCCAGCGATTGACAGCAGCGGCGTGCGTTCCAACAACCCTGACGAAAATGCTGACGTGGCAGAGAAGACTGGGCGCGACGATGTTCCTGATATGAAGATGATGACCAGATGCGTGCCATGCTGGCAAGGGGCTGAAGGAGACGAAGGTGGACACGTGGCGGGTCGGGACTCCCGCCACGTGGCAGGTCGGGACTCCCACCACGTGGCAAAACGAGTGTCATCCACAGAGTTATGGATGATCCAACGAGAGGTCGCCAGCTGGACGACGCTTCCGGAGTCAATCTCGGATCGGTTACTCGAGGCAGCGAAGCATACCGCGTGCACAAAAAAGGCAGCGATATCCGATTGGATACTGAAGCATGCACCTAGACATAGGGTAGTTCTAGATGCCGAGCTGGCCAATCAAATTGCCCTTCTCGTTCTCTGCTGCGTGGAGTCGGTTGCGGGTGAACTGTCGTCTACGGACTTGATGATAGAAACCCCCGTTCCTCGTCGTCCTCCTCCTCCTCC